AAGCCAGAGAGGGCGAGGGGAGGCTTGTTTAAAACTACAGAATGCGAGGGACCAGCAGTTGGTGTAATGGCTATGTCACTGGACTCCCATGTAGCAGACCATGGTTCGAGTCCTGGACCTGGTGGCTTAAACTCACGCTGGGCACGTGTGCGTGCAACTCTATAACAGAAACTGAAAGAGGGAAAGGTATAAAAGCATGAAGAGCAACTGTGGGTACTAGAGACAGGGTAGGAAGAAGGTGGCAGTAGGGGGTGGGAGAGAGGGAATCAGAAAGAAATTAAAAAAAAAAAAAGGAAAGCAAAATATCTCACAAATGCAAAAGTGTAAATTTATGTGTTAAGGATGACCTGTACATGTGGGGAGCCAAAGAGGAGATGTGAGAAACATGCAAGACGTGACCACCAGAATAAGACCGGGGTCTTTATCCAGACATGGCCTTGGGTGGCTGGATTGTTCCGAGCAGAATGTCTTGGGATGGTTTTGAACTGAATATTCCAAAGTATTGTTATAACAACCTGATAAATTCAGTAAGGACTTAAAACCTTACATCACAGAAGTCTCTGGAGTGTGTATTAATACTAGCAATAAAGTACACTCGAGGCTGACCAGTATTGACTGGCAGTCCTCCCATTTCTATCTTGTCTTCTTGTCTTTCTTTAATCCTCACTCCCCAACTCAGGAACTGTTCACCGTCGGCAGGTCCGACATGTACACTAATATCTTTGACTGGACTAATATGCAGTGTATTCATGCTAAGAAGATTCATTTTGTATGCTGCAAAATGTACAATGATGAAATGTAAATAAAAACACACACACACAAAAATTTTAATGAATTAATTTTTAAAAAGAAATGAAGTGAGAGCAAAGAAAGGTAGGAAGGAAGGTGCAGGATCACCCTACGGGAGTTGTCCCTCTCTGAGTGGTCTTAGATAATGTCACAAGTACCCCCTAGAGTTCAGGATTTTAAGCTAACAGAGGGACTGGTGTCTCCTGTGGAGATATCTATTGGAATAACCTTTGCTAATAGGCAATTAGTGGCTATGGTATCATTTCCACATCAGCTTCTCTTGGTTAACAACACTCAGAGAAGGAGGACTTTGTTAATTCCCATGACTCCATGTCAAGGAGAACAGAAGCAAAGAAGAGAAGAGTTATGGGACAGGAACAGTTGCCAGCTTGAGCCTTTGAATAACTTTGTGGAATAGAGCTGGTACCAACCCAAGACCTCCTGACCATATTTGACCTATTGTTTGATCAAGAAATAAGCTTCTGTCTCATAGACGTCCCTTCATTTGAGGTCTCCCTGTCTTCCACCTTAGTCTGTACCTTAATCAACAGGGTTATGGAAAAGATTCTCTGTCTTCCTATGGCTTATTCCTGATTTCCACATCAGAAGAGTTAGGCCTGGGAAGGGAAGGAAGTGTGTATCCCAGGAAAATCAAACCTACACCAGTATGTATGTCAAGGTTGAGCTGGAAGCCTAGTCTATGATGTGGAGAAAGTGGAGAGTACAGTTTTTAAACTAGATTGCAGTATTAATACCTCAGGAGGGCTGGAAAAGTATGAAAACTGTCCAAGATTGTAGGGAGCAGCCACATCTGGACAAAACACTAGTGATCTTTAAAAGTAGATATGGTCGTAGTGCTGATGCTGTGTAAGCCAGAGAGGGCGAGGGGAGGCTTGTTTAAAACTACAGAATGCGAGGGACCAGCAGTTGGTGTAATGGCTATGTCACTGTACTCCCATGTAGCAGACCATGGTTCGAGTCCTGGACCTGGTGGCTTAAACTCACGCTGGGCACGTGTGCGTGCATACCCAAGATCCCGAGAGGAGAATGGAGGAGAAGGGATTGCGGTGTGGCCATCCCCCCTGGGGGGCGATTTCTCACTTTCTATCTTTCTGTCTCTCTCTTTCTGGCGAGCACATGCACCCTATAGCAAAAAACTCTCCAAGAGTAAATAAATAAATTTTTTAAAAAACTATGGAATGTGAGAGTCTCCACAGCTGCTGTTGACACCTGGCTTTACCCTCAGCTTCTCCCTCCCCCATCGCTCTATAAAATAAACCTGGGACCGGCTCAGTGCCGCAGAGATCTCCATTGGAGATACTCAGACCGCCTGATTCCCACTTTTCTCCACTTGTCTGTCTTTCTGTTCTTTCCAAATCCACTGCCCCTTCTTCTTGGAGGCCACATCTTCTTACCTCGCAGTCGAGGCACATGATGTAACTAAGAGATGAGAAATAAATCATTCCTGAATCCAGCTGATGGAGTAACTGGAGAAAAAAGAAAACTACTTCCTATTCAGACTTGACTCTGTTGAGATTCCTCCTAAACTAACTGTAAGTACAAATCCTTGGGAAGTCCCTGTGGTTTTTAGAAATCCCCTTGCATCCCTTTCACTGCCTGTATTTTATGCGGATTTCTTACTAATCAAGTCAATCTTCCAAACTCTAGATAGAAACCCTTCCTCTTTTGCTAGTATTGTTTACTGTGTCCTCTTTTTTTTTTTTAAGAACTATTTATTTAATTTTATTTATTTTAATTTGACCATAGAGAGACAGAGAGAGAGAGACGGAAATTGAGAAAGCAAGCCACCAGGTCCAGGACTTGAACCGCGGTCGGCCATGTGGGAATGTCCAGTGCCTTAACCACCACGCCACCTGCTGGTCCCTACTGTGTCCTCTTGAAAACTCACACACTCTTCCCATTCAGATCACAGTCCCTCAGCCACTATTTCTTTCCTAGTCTCTCACTGCCATCTTGTTCTATTTTTGTCTCTCTCTCTCCATTCTTTATCTTTATCTTTTTCCATTCATGATGAAGCACAAGCACATGAGAGTGAGAGAAGGAGAGACTCTCTCAGGGTCTGGTCACACCATGATCCTCCTCATCTAGTCCTCCAGCCCATTAAATCTTGAGCACTTATGTGTGTTAGGCTGACTGGACCAAGGACTCGAACCACAGGAATCCCCATAGTCATGTGAGATTTGGCTTCTCTTGAGCGTGTTACAGCTGCGCCACGAAGCCAGCCCATTACTCTCCCTTCTTTGTTCCTCTGACTTCTCAAGCAGCTTCTTTTAGATTCTCCTCCCAAGATAGCATTTTCTTTTTGATTCTTTTTCTTTCTTTTTTCTTTTTTTTCTATAAATAATTATTTTATTTAACTTTATTTATTTATTTTAATTTGACCAGGGAGAGAGAGAGAGGAAGAGAGAAAGCCACCAGGTCCAGGACTCGAACCGCAGTCGGCCATGTGGGAGTCCAGCATCCCCAACCACCACACTGCCTGCTGAGCCCTCTTTTTTATTTTATTTTATTTTATTTTTTTGAGAGAGATTTTTGTTATAGGGCATGAGTGTTCACCAGACAGACAGAGAGAGACAGAAAGCAAGAAATCACCCCCCAAGGGGGGTGGCCATGCCATAATCCTTTCTCCTCTATTGTCCTCTTGGGATTTGGGGCATGCATGCACACATGCCCAGCGTGAGTTTTAAGCCACCAGGTCCAGGATTCGAACTGCGGTCGACTATGTGTGAGTCCAGTGATGTAACCATTATGCCAACTGCTGGTCCCTGAGATAGCATTTTCTTTTCTGCTGCCGCATTCTTGTAAGTTCTCAGGCCATTAGAGACAGTTCTGCCAACACTCCCCAGTTCATTCTGGAATCTCAGAATGTGACATTTCCTTGAAACAAGTGGTGCATTAACTGGCTGGCTTCTTGCAATAACCCCCTCAACCCACACCCCGGAAATATACCTCTACCCCATAACTTCTGACTTGGTACAATAGGCTGTCCTGTTGTCTAAGGTCCCGTCATGACAACCCAAGCCCAGCTTCCTTTCCATGGGCTATTGTCAGCATGGCCCACAGGAAATTCACGTACTTTCACCATGCCAGTAGTGGAAGGAAGGTTGCAACCACTGCTTCCCTTCGCTCATCCTGCCATTTGGGGTTACCAAGCCAACTGTCTCCAAGTCAGAAGCGCTCATATAGTCATTCAACAAATATATTTCTCTCTCTCTCTCTTTGTAGCCAAGTGTGGTGTTTTAGACAGGGTTTTACTCTGTTGCAATCCTCCTGTCTCAGCCTCCTGAGTATCTGGGCTTATGGCACTTGCCACTGTTCCTGGATTTTCAGACTGGGTCAAGAATTGAACCTAGGGGGGCTGGCAGGTGGCGTCATGGTTAAGGGTATTGGACTC